GGGAGGCCGAGAGCTACCCACACACACCGTGTCACATACCCACCAACCAGGACCCTCCCAACCTTCATCGTCGACACTCGGCTGGGCTGGTCATGGTAGTCCGGCAAGCGAAACTGACATGAACAAAACTTCCCAGTTGCGATGGAGAGCCATTTGGGGGTGCTATAGACACCATCTCTCACCATTTCATGATCCTGTAGACAGTTGATTCACCACCCCCTCCGCCGCGCCGCCATTTGGATTGCAAAACCTCTCAGTTTGTTTCTTTTTCTCATCAATCATCTATACTATGTCTACATTTGGCATTTCCTCCAGCACCTCCTGCGGCACAGAGCGCGGCACCCATCCCAGGACACCGGTTCTGGGCGGCTTCGCCGCGCTGCGCGTGCCACAGCGCACGGCCATGGCCTTGGACCTCGTGGGCTGCAGTCCGGTGGGCGAGGACGGCCGCTCTGGGGGGGAAGGACTCGATTGAGTGCCGGGTGAGGTGGAGACGGCTCCTCTGCGAGTGACTGCCGTGAATGGTCGTGTGGGTGGAGAAATAGTAGACTTCAGATGGCTCGGTGCTTGACACTGACTGAGTCAACCTGACAGATGGTCAATTGGAGTCAAACTGTGCAGAGCATGCTACAACCAAGCATTCTTTGGGCAACAGTCAGGTTCCAGTTGTAGGAGCTTATTTTTGGAAAGCATACCACATCCCATGACCTGTTGATATAGGGTTGAACATGTTCTTGGTTGCTGTGCATTTTTCCACCTGAATCTTTTGTTGAACAAACTTGCCTCGGCACTGCGGGGAAGCGATGCCCAAGCACATCACTCCATTTGTTTAATGACCGACATAACTCACCCTTACCATCCCCTACTATATGGCAAAAGGCAAAATCATCTTGCGCGCCGTAGGAGCTCGAAATCTTTGAAGCCTCAGTGCAGAGGGGAAAGGCGCCAGAGATCTTGCAGATCGGTACTGACCAGGATCGGATGCGGTTGAAGCCTTGGGGCCCTGGGGTGTTCATTGTTCAAGTGGCCCGGGACCTCAGTCCTCAACCACAGATCGCACTTCAAATCTTGCGACTGACCCTTAGGCAAGTTGCGCTGCACAAAGGAACATTGTCACATAAGTGACACATGAGTGGCCATTACACAGGCATATCGGTTTGTTGGGAGGCCAGGGGGTGTGCTGTGCACACTTGAACCAGCACAGGAAAGTATACTAGTAGTATCTAGTAGTACCGAATTGTTTGATATGTCCGTTCAGGCCCCGGCTTCTTCTATATTTCAAGGGTGGAGAACTCCCATGGAATGTGGCCATGGGTACCCGTGGCCACCCATGCCAAATCCCTTTCCTGCCCTTGGACATGAGCCTTTTCCCTTACAAGTGGTGAGACGAAGGACCGGCGTTCTGCCAGCGTCCGATGCCAGGAGGGTGACTACCGGGACGTGGCCGAAACCGAGAAGGGCACGGCTGGCATTCCCCGGCGCGTGGGGATCCCAGCCGCTGCGGCCTTGAAGGCGGTGATGCAACGAGAGCAGATTGCAGGGCCCAAGGCGGGGTGATGGAGAGTGAGTCGAGTGTCAAAAAGGCATAAAAAGGCAACCCAAGCCTTAAAACGATGTTAAGTTGCATATTATATAGTATAGTATATTCTGTTCATTCGGCTCATTTTCCGTGGTCAACCAGGGCACCTCTTTGTTGGACCCACGGCCATATCATATCATTCACCCTACCGCACTGAACCTGGGTACCACGCGGACAGCGGTGTTGGGGCGTGGCTAGACCGACAGCAAGCCTGAGCCAGACTCTGGATTCGGTGTGTGGTCTCAGACTTCCGATGCATGAATCCATGCCCACGATCAGCTGAAGTGGAATGGGACAGATCAAGCGGATGGTCATTTTCTCTCAGGAGCTTCTTCTGGGCCTCTCGCGGCCTGCGGCAATGGGCACGTCACTGGCAGAGAAGTGGGCGCTCTTCAATTGGGTGGGTGTCTCCAAGGCGGGCGCTTTGACCTGGGAGGCGGAGAAGTTGCTCTCCCAAGCAATGAATAGATGATAAGCACCGACATTTGGTTGTTTTCCTCTCGTGGTGACGCCTTTATGGTGGTTGGGCCCAACGGGGCCTTGCATATTTGTATATATTTGTATCTGATCTACGGCTTTAACGTGGAAAAACGATGCAAATGGCACGCATTTCCCTGCCATGTGACAGAAAGGCTGTCATCCGAGTGGTTCCCCTCACTGAGCATTTGAGACAAGCGAGGTATGTGCAGTCCAACGTGTATGCGGCTGACCCGCTCAAAACTCTAAAAACCATCCGGAAACTCCTTGCTATCCTAGCCAGGTAGACACTCCCAAACAGCGCCTGTATATATCAATGAAGGATCTTAAACCGTCAAACCTGCATTTTCGACTTGAAGTGGCAACCACCGAATCAACCCACCTGAACTCCAAGTTCGCCTGAACTCTCACCAGGCAGGTGGCTGCGCCTTGGCGGGTGGAGACCCCATCACCGAGAAGCTGATGCCCAAAGGTACTTTGCAGAGTTGTCAATGCTTCAAGGCCCTGTTCGAAGAAGTCCGTGGCGGTGGGGAAGAAAGGGCGTAAAACCGGGGGTCGGTTAACAGCCCACTGCGGTGTGGTCGGTCCGACTGTCCAATGTGGGGTTGACCAACGAATCCGGTGGGGCCAGGTGGAGTGAGACTTCGGGCCTACTTGGTGCACACCTGTCATATATCCCAAACACTCCATGTATGCCATATTTGATCATATTTGCCTACATTGGGGCAGTTTGTGGGGCCAATGTAGGCATATATGCTATACATGGAGTGCTTGGGTATTGTATGATATTGTATGTATTTGTATGTGAGATGGCGCAGATGCAGAGCATCAGACCAGCCCTGCGGCGCGAGGTGTCTCCAGCGCTGGAGCAGTGGCGTCGCTTAGCAGCCCAGGGGGCATCACTGACATTGGCCTTGGCGGGTGGTCGGACGCTCGGACCGTTGGCGTTGTCCATGCTCCGTGTGGGGTGGTGTGACACCCAACAAAGGAGTATGAATAGTGAGCTTCAAGACAAGATGCAAATTGCACTCCCGTTTGTCCCCTTCGGGCTGCTTTCTCAGTCATTTTGGGGAGCGATTCAGACTAACCTCAACCCACAGCTCAGACCGAAACATGTCGAGCAACATCAGCTTCGTTCGACCGAAATCGGTCGAGCAACGGCTCCCAGGAATCTTTCGCCTCAGCAGGCTGCAGCAACGGTGGGGAACAACTCCCCTGCGCTGGGTGCTTTGGGAGTGTCGGTGTCTTGGCCTTGAAAGTCTTATAAGTTTAACGGTTTAACGTCGTGTTTAACGTCTAAACTCCGGAGTTTGTAGTGGGCCTCCTGCCAGCTCTACAGCTTTCTTGTCGGGGCCTGCGGATGCGATGATGTTTTACAGGGGCACGTTGTAGGTTGTACAGTTGTACCGCCCGCAGGAAGTACTGAGCACGTCTAAGTGCCACAGTGCCAATCCACGCCGCAATTCCAGTCCTGCTCTCTTGTGCAGCCAGCTACGCCAGAGAGCCGCTGGTTTGGTTTGGCCAAGAGCCTGAGTAGAGCAGGTCATGGCTCCAGCAAAACAAAGCAACCCCTAGCAAGTGTCAGTCAGTCATATATCTAAATTCATCTAAATTCTAATATATTATATATAACATTATGTATATTATGTATAGAACCAGATCAAACATGAACACTCCAAGGTCTCCTGTGCATTCCTGTTATAAAACTTTCTCCAGCTTTTCAACATCCACCTTCCATCGGTGCGGAGGGCTCGGCTCGCAGCGGCTCGGCTCGCGCCAAGGTCTTGGGCAAAGCAGGGCCAAACTCCCCTTTGGAGGTGCATCGTCAGGCAGGTTTGGTGCTGGCCTTCTTCCCATAGGAGATTCAAGCGGGTTCTGAACTTGCTAACAATTTAATTAAGTCTCAATTACAGTGTAAGTATCCTTATGCCACATCAAACTGGCTGAAAAAGCTGCAGCACTTGCATTGTTGGATCATCTATTGTGCCGGGCCAATGAGGACCGGTCCTGCTGACATCGGATTGAATGCGAAGTCCTCAGACCAGGCAAACGACAGTCTAACAACCATAAACGGACAACTGCGCAAGTACTGAGCTGCACATGTTCTTGGGATCACTGAATCTGGAAGCTTCAAAGGGGGCAACCCGATGTCAGCATATTTTTTTCATTATTTCAATTGGCGCATCGCCATGGCGCACGGTGAAAAGCAGCGGAGCGCGCAGCACTCCGTGGGTGGTGCGCGCTGCGCGACCGGTCGGGTGAGTGCTGGTCGACCGGTGAGTGCTGGTCGGGTCGTTCGATGAGCTCGGAGCTCGGAGACGACCAAAGGGAAGCCCTCTTGTGAAAAAGAGGCCTGAATCAATCCTGGTGTCCTGAATGATGGAGGTGTTGAGTTGATTGATGACTTGTGTTTGTGAACTGTTGGTAGGATGCCCCTCGTCCAAAAGACACAAATAGACATAATTTGAAATATTGAGAGAATCACAGCTCTCTAGCTTACCAAAAGCATCCGTCAAGCTTGTTGATGAGTGAGGTTGGGAGTCAGCACCTGTGGTACCAAGTTCAACCACAGGAGCATTGTTGAGAATAGTTGCTGTTGAATTCAGTCGTTGGGTTGATAAGCTTGTTGTGTTGGCGTTTTCACAGTTCTGGCTGATTGAATCCTGAAACGTGTTCTGTTGCCTTCTTCAGATGGACGAGGGCGGGTCATATATACCATACTAAACGATGCTAGTGCTGGATTGTTGCTGGTTGTTTCTAAAAGCTTTGTTCCAGGATGCTCAACCTCTTCACTTCCGATTTCTGCTCAACATATAGGGCGCATATGCTATCCTTCAACGATGCATCTATAATACTATATTATATATTATATATATTTGGGTGTTCTCTCCCGTTTGTTGCGACTCTTATTATCATGGGAGCGTGTCTTTTGGTCGGCGGCGAGGCCCACAACATCGATGACGTTTGCATCGAATCGCTCAGTGCCCCACGGCTGCGCACGGGTGCGCGCTGGCGCACGGGCTCAGACAGGTTGCGACATGTTCGTTGTTGGAACGCGAATCATAGAAGCTGGGCCTCTCTTGTAGAGGAAAAGGGTCTTCCAGGGGCTTGTGTTTCGTTTCAGGACTTCATGTAGTGTACCCGTCTTCCCTTCCATCCAGCCGCGTCAGTACCATATATATATATATTTGTCTAGTAAGAAAATGTAAGAATTGTAACAAGAGTCTTATCCAAGGTTTTCCGAAAAGCTTTGACACTTTGAGGTGGGTATTCCTCGAAACGACCACAGTTGCGCCGTTGGACGTCGTATATACGTATATGGGGGGCTCTTCGTGATGGGCCGAAGATCTTCGTCTGAACCTCGAGAAGAAGCCGAGGTGAAATTGAATCGCCAGCGACTGGACCAGTCCTCTGGGAATCTCACCAGGCAGCCAGCCGTGGGTGCCCAGGTCGGTGTGCCGCGGTCGTGAGGGTTTTGGTCCGGCTCCACCTTGGGGTTTTGCTTCGCTATGCTTCGCTTGAGGAAGCGAGTGTTTTATGCGTGATGTGCCAACAGAATCATGATATCGTCATTATAAGTTGACTAAGTGCACATCAAAGATGACGGGCTGGCTGGTTTTTGCTTATTAATGGTTATATATCGGTTATCCGGGAAGCATGGCGCCCTGCCTCCGAACACCAGAAATACATGGAAATACTAAGAGCATCCAAGAGACAATATCAAGATACGTCAAGTGATCTGCTGAATCCTTTGCTGTGTGGTGTTCTTGTTGGGCTTTGCGGATCAAAGGGGTAAATTGGAACGAGAGTTGAACTTGGCAACAGAGTGAAGCAAACAAACGACTCTGGGAAGCTTGCATCCACTTTATTTTTATGTTTTGCTCCATGTTGCTTGGGGATGTTTTCGCTGGGCCTCGGGTGACTGTAGTGTTCGTGGAACTCACATCTCATGCATCTACCCTTGCCCGCGTCTTTCACGCTCCGATCTCCATGCGGTCGCTCGCCGTCTACGCACGTGGAACGAAGGTTGGGCAATGAAATCGAACGTGTCAAGAAGGAGGATGCTTCACGGCTACAGGAGGCCCTGCAGACATCGAAGTCTTCCCTGCCGTAGTCGGTGGGAATCGCACACACCGGTCCAAGTGTGTTTGTGGTGGGGGGTGCATCCCACACAGGAATCCCCACCATAGAACCTTTTTCAGAATATTTCAATGAATTAGATATGATAGACATGAACTCCACAGCAAATCTCAGGGAAAAGGTGTCCAGTCATTTCCTACTGAATGTCTTTGGTTTTGCCGCAGCTAGAGTTTCGCAACCTTGGAAACCCAAGATCAAACATAGACCCTTATCATTGAGTCTTGAATACTGAATACTCTTGTTTTCTCTAGGCACGCCGCGTGGCCCAATTTCATTCCCTGAGCTTGCTTGCCATACCAAATTGACAAAGCCTTGAATCCCTCTCAAAGTCACAGTGTCAGGAGTACAAGCGCTTGGTTCAAGGCTTGCGACAAGCAGGGCAGTGCCTCAGAGACCAAGCTTGGGGGACATGGGGAGGGGCCCCAACCAACGGGTGAATCGATTTACGTACAGCATTATGGCTGTGACCCCATCGTGCATTAATCGTGCATATGCTATACAACTGAGTGAGCCTGCCCTATTCAAAGCCCAAGGCATTCAGCAGTTTGCGGTGTCCCATTGGATTGATGTGCATGTATATAACATTTTTTCAACTATATATATATATTATATATGTATCTATAGCTATATATATATATATGTATTGTAGAACTATGGTATGTAACATCATTGTATTTTGACTTGAGCATGTGTCAATGTATGTATGCGCACATGTGCACAGATGTGTATGCAATTACACCGCACCCACGGAATCCAGCAAGCAATTCCTTGTTTCAGCCGCTTTTTTCATGTCTTTATGAAGATGGTTCAACTTCTTCCTGCAGCTAACATGGTTGATTCCCCCCTGCAGCACGGCGCCTGTCCATGTGTGTCAACCTAAAACGGACAAATCATATCAAGCAGAGAAATCAGAATCCTGGAACCTGTCAACCTTGCCACCCTTTTGGGTGGTCAGCACAAGCTGCCCCTAAATCGATTGGATAACTCCAAACCCACAGTGATTGACGAACAATACGGCAATTCTCTTTGGTCGGGGGCAGCCTCCCCCTCCGGCTGTCCCTACTAAGCCATCATCATTTGATACATTTTGATACGATATTTGCATTTCCGTATCCACTCAGTCAAAGCATTGCCTTTTTCATCTCATCACCCATTCCTTCCGTGAACCTTCTCCACCCCAACATCCCCAGCAGTTCATATTCTGATGTGTCTTTCCCGCGGTTTAACTTGCCAGACCAAAGTCAGGCCTGGAAGAGTGACCAGCACAGTTCATCCGCAGCACCAGTCACCCGAGACCCCTTCCAGTTCTGTGCTTGGGAACTCAATCGGCGAAACCGGCATGGCCGAGCTCATGTGTCGTTGAGGATCGATGAAGCCATGGCAGATCAACTGCAAAGCCCGGTGCTGCCCGAGGACTTGGTCTCCGAAGCCATCCCGGGGCGCCTTGACGGGCGAAGCGGGCGAAAGAGTTTACACCGAAAAGGAAGAGAGGTGAATACGAAAGATGTGGCTTGGGGTGTTCAGAGATTTAGCAAGTGAACGGGGAGTAATGTACGATTAATGTGTATATGTACACGTTATATATATATACGGACATGCATGTATTCAGACCACTATAGATAGATCATAGATCTATATATATATATATACATCTTACATAATATTTAATATATATATATACCATGATGGTTGGGTGGCCTTTGACGGTGTTTGTTTTTCAAGGTCCTGCTGTTGGAAGAGAATTTCATAATTTATGAGTTCAGTCTTCTGGGTGTTTGTGTGCGCGACTGGTGCTTAGTAGTGTGAGTATACAAGCTTCTTGTTACTACTAGTAAGGCACCTGTTACTACTAGCGTGGCACTTGTTACTACTAGCTTCTTGTTACTACTAGCTTCTTATTACTACTAGTAAGGCTACTAGCGTGGCACTTGTTACTACTAGCTTCTTGTTACTACTAGTAAGGGAATGACCCCAACTATAGATTCCATAGGAACCATTCTCTCATTGCTTCAGAGTCGCACCAGTTAGAGGCCACGGGAGAGCCCCAAGACCGAGGAACATCCGCCGAGCCGAGCATTTCATCGCCCTCTTACGACGTCCCTTGGTTGTTGGGAGGTGCTGGCTGGGAGGTCCTTGGGCCACTTGATCAGGTGTCGCACCCTAGCTCCCGTCTAAGAACACCGGCTACAGATCGGAGCCAAGGCACAGGAGGGTGCATGGGTCATTGCAACATCGATGTTTTCGAGTGGCTCCGTCCACTCTTCAGCGGGACAGCCGGGACAGGCCCAAGACCCCGCAGCTGGTGAGTAGCTGCCAATGACAGGACTTCTAGGACCTCCCTGCAGCTGATGGATGTTTAGGCTTGGAAGCTGCCACTGGTGGTCACAGCAGGTATTCAGTGAGGTGTTGCATAATTTGCGGGGGCAGAGGAAGCTGAAGCTTTCACCTACCTCACCTCAAGAGCGCTCAAGAGCAGCTCAGAGTAGCTTCCAGTTCCCCAGCTGTCCTGGACCTTTGGAAGCTTCATGAAGCTTCCAGATCCCAAGATCAGGTTCAGGAAGTATGTTCCCACCAAAACTGCCCTTTCCACACGATGGGTCATACTCGTCATACCTATAGATGTTTTGTTTTTTAGGCTGCCAGGTTTGAAACATGGAAACATCGTAACACTCCTGCTGATCGCAACGTTCGGACATTGCCAGAGCATCAGAGTTTCACTTCGACCTGTGGCCGCCTGGTCGACGGGTCGACTGGTCGATGGGTCCAGGAATCGTCAACTTCTGCCGACGCTACTTGCACGTGGAGCGCGCGCAGTGTGAGGGTCCACTCTCGATTTGTCACAAACTGGAGGAGGATGCCGACTCTCGATGTATTTGGTGTGGAAGACAATAAGACAGTGGAGCGGTTTGGGTTTGGTACGGGTTCAATAATTTCAAGGTGCCCTGAAGAAACACTGCTGATTTCTGTTATTTCTCATTAATTTCCTTTGTTCGGTTCTGTGTTCCGGTTTTGTTGCCACGTAGATGAGATCTATAGAGATTTAGACTGACTGATCCAGAGTGTAATTGTATAAACATGTTACTGCACAGTGGTTTCAGAGTAGATGGCACTGGCACCCCAAGAGGACTTAGATAGATGGGGGCCCACTACTAAATCCAAACAACTAAGGTGGGGGGGGGGCAGGACTTAGACTGAGACAGACGGGGTCCACTACTACCAAACAACTACTGTACGTATGAGAAGTTGGGGGGTTAAATCATCTACTCTCAATCCACAAGTCAGTCGCATTTCGTTGCACGTGCGGTCCTTCCTTCACCTCGAAGTGCCCTGCCCGCTCTTCGGGTCTTCACTCGCGGGTCAGGCTGAGCGCTCGGGTCAGGAGCCCCGTTCGTAGCGTCCTAAATGAAGCTATTTTTGGGGTTTGCAGCGGCTAATTTCAGCTGTCATTAATGGGTTTTCCTTCCATGTACTGTCGTGACCTTTCTTGCCCGACACAACTCAAAAGCGCCGCACCGCCTGAGGAGGTCGACTCCAAATCGCTGAAGTTTTGTCACGAACGGCTGCGATCTCTGCCGCCAGACCGGCACGGGGGCAGATGACGGAGCTGCGGGTGATGTATTCTGCACCTGCAGGTCTAGAGTCCAGCGAAGTAATTGTATGATGATGCTTTAAGGTGTTGAGCTTTTTTGGTTGTCTTGTGGATGTGCAAGAAGTGTTGAGGATCACAAGAAGTGTTGAGGATCAAAAGGCGCACAGAGAAAAGAATAGGTTTACTCGCTGGAATGGGAAAACATACTATGTTTGCTGGCTGGACGGCACAGCACATCCATCGAAGATGAGAGCATTGCTACAGTCCTGCTTTTCAATTTGTGGATTGCTTTGGTACATCAGCTATGACACCTGCAGCAAGCACTGTGTTTCCATCGAACGTCATCAAACCTCCGGATCTTTCAACTTTAAGGCTGTTGGTTGATCAGTTCTGGAGTCTGAAAGCATCTCACGAAGAACAGTTAGCCATGACGCACCTGACTGATGCCGCACCATGACTGACTGGTGCGGGTTCACAACACGGTGCGCGGTCGACCGAGGCTGAACACGTTGCAAGTGTCTAACCTCGAGGAGTTCACGCCCATCACCAAGGTGGCCGACTTTGCTGCTTGGCAAGAGCACATGTTGGAAACTCGGTGGCTTTGGACATCGGGGGAGCTTGAACCACTGGAACTTGACAGCTGTCACCTTGAATCTTGCCAAGGACATCTTGTAGCAAGTCTCTTATGTTGCAAATGACCCTGCTCGCACCTCTTTGGCCTTTGAACGTGTTGAGACCTCCGAGTCCGACCATGGGATTTTCAAGTGCGCCTTCCTGGTGGCAGACGGGTCAAAACAACTTAATGATCTTAATGACCACTGACAATCTCACTAAATCACTGAGGCCTTCGTTGATTCATTGGTACATGTTTGATGCCAAATTAAGAACCACAGATTCTTTTGCTTTCAGTAAACCTCTCGCAATGTTCTCTGAGAACCATGCAAAGTTGAACCACTGTAATTTTGCTTCGCGCGCTCAAGAAGTTCCAGAGAACTGCTCTTGCTGTATCTCAAGAAGATTCAATAAGTTCATTCAACCGTATCGGTCCCAACTACCTGTAATATACACTGGGGTGCCGAAAGTTGCACTTTGACTTAAAAAACGGGACAAACCCTTTCCCCTTAGAATCCTACGTGCAACATGTCGACGCCTAAGTTGCGGGCAGATTTCCACACCTGAAAGCCTTATAAAAACAGGTGTGGAAATCTGACCGTGCTGTACCTGCCAGGCAAAATGGACGTGTCAATCCGATCTGCTGTAGACCGCACGTGTCATGTTGGAACAGAGTAAGAAGCGTAAACTTTAGGGTTCTTGAAGTATGGGCAGCTTCCAATCAATCTCAGATCTCTGAGATGCTAAACGCTTCAGCCCTTGCACACGCACACGTTTGCACGGCCGTTGAGGTGACCCTTCTGGGAACCTATTCCCAGGGTTTCACCATCATCGTTGACCCTTATCCAGAAGCACAAGGCCAGGAATTGAGATATATAGTGAATTAATCAGAATTGACACATACAGTCATATAATGTCACATATATATATATATACTATACTCGCACAAGGTCAACTTATGTCACATTCATTAATATACAGTATAGATTCATCATTGCGAGCTGAACGCGGCCTGGAGTGACTGGCCGGCCGGCCGGCATGTGATAGCAGACCAGGTTGCCAGCGCGGTCTTTCTTGTTTGGGACTGCGTCACGGGGTTGATTGTTGTCACCGGCCAAAGAAGGAGAAGTACCGAACTGAGAAGAATTGGATTCCATGTCGCCCAAAGCATTCAGTTGTTGAGATTTGAAGCTGGAATTGCTTTGGTGCCACAGGCAGAGGTCAAGTTGACATGATCGAAGTTCCAGATCCGCACAATCTTGCTTCACGAGGGAGGTTGTATGGGACCGGGGACCACCAGAAGTAATGAACAAAAAGTAACAAAAGATCCACTGCAGTCCGCAGTCCACTGCGAATAGGATGCCGAAGAGGCTAATGTTCCCCGTGTCGGTTCCTTTACCTCAGAGACCCAGTGTGCGGCACGCCCTGGACCAAGTGGAGGTAGTCCATGGGTGACCCGCAACACAAAATTTGAGTGCGTCTTCCAATTCCCTTTTGTGGGAGGAAGGCTGTGGCCAAAAGGATTCATTTTCCCGACAAGAGGGACGACTGTAGAACCTGTAGGACCTGTAGCGGTAACAGTCTTCATACACCAATAATATGCATTACGGTGGTGAAAGCATGTGACAAAGAGGTGTTACATGCATGGTCAACCTCATCACTGTTCTTCCTGCCAGGCATCTACGACCCCACCTTGATCTTACGATGTTTGGACGCGTCGATCGCCATTCGCCCGGTCTTGAAGCGGTACCAGTCGGTGGTGCTGACCTCTGGAACCATTTCACCCCTGGAGATGTATCCCAAGCTGCTCGAAAGGGCAAGGGATGGGGGGTGATGAGATCATGTTGGAGTGACCCCCACATATAGGTAGTAAGTAGTGGTAGAACAAGGGGCGCAGGGGGAATCTCCATTGAAGATGAATCGGAACTGGAGTCCTTATATGTCCTTAATTGTCCTTATATGACATATATATTTTATATATAGAGAGAGAGAAGGAGATTCCTGAAAGTTTCAGCATTTTACCTTAAGCCTTAAGTAAGGGGATAAGTGCTGTTTCGAGGCCGAGCAAGTGTTTTCTGGAATTGTGTAGATTTATTTAATCAACAAACCTCTTCTTGAACATACGGCATTCAACAACCACCTGAAACATGATGCTCCAATCGGAAATCCGGAGTCGGTGGTCTGCTCCAGTGCTTTTTGCTGGGATGGAAAAATTCGTTATGTCCACCCAATAGGACTGACTATGGGCCAGCCTGGGTTATTTTGAAGGATTCTCTTTGGGTTGTCCTGGAACTCCTCTGCCAAATCCTTTCAAAACCAGGATCTCTCGAACATCAAGCTAAAGATTCGCAACGATTCGCTAGCAGCGACAGTGAAAGCCATTTAGCATGCTAAACACTGCTAAACCATGTTCAATTAGAGCGTTTGTATACTTGAGGATGGCTGCACCACCCCTCTACCCAACCTCATGAGCATGGACCATGAGCGCTGAGGATTTTGGGCATGTCCAATGTGGTGGCGACTGAATCCTTTAGCATTACGATGGAGAGGAAGTGCCTATGTCCGCTGATCGTCACCCATGGCCCCGATCAGGCCCGAGGTGACCAGGGGAGTGGAAGGCAACGGTGAGGAAGCCTATTGAGACCTTTCTGTGAAGGAACAGTTGACTGAACCCTCCAAGTGTCCAGTGTCCCGGACCATATGCCGCGATATTCCATTTGCAATAAGACCGAATAGAAGGCACTGTTACTCTACACGCACCCTTGTTGGAGATTAACCCCCCCATCCACCGAGCGAATGACTTTACGCAGACGGGTCACTTCCAAAAGATGCAAAAACAGTTAACACATCTACACTGACACTGGCCATGGACACTCTTCTATTCGTGAACCGGGGATCGACTTCCCGCCATTTGACGATCCCGTCTTTGAAATCAATGAAGACATCAGTCGACTTGCAATCGCTTTGCATAGAATGACTGATTCGCATCATTCTTTGGCATGGCATGGCTTAAATTCCGCCCCTGCCCCCTGTGGCTTGCACCAGGGACACCGGAGAGGTTGTGGATGAACCTGTGTGTTTTTGGTTTAGGTCTGAAACATGCTAAGATTGCATGAGCCCCCTAAACCTAGGCCTCATGGTTTTTAAAGAAGGCCAAGAGTGTGTTTAGCTTCCGGAAGTGCACCCCAGAGCTATTGCTGGTGCGAGCACGGTCTCTCCAGCAACTCAGTCAGGGATCTCCACGCGGTGACGCGGGGCCCCCTGACCCCCATCCTTGAAGATCCTTTAAGCTGTTCTTGGAATTTGTTTTCCCTACTACTGGTAGAAGCGAACAGGTGGAAAAAATGTACATTTGATTACTGTATATTGATACTAGTTTGTATTTTAGATTTCTTTTTGGTTCCGGACAACTGAGGGAGTCAGCCCGGCTTTTTTCAGGTGCCCATCTCATCCCGCTTCAGTCTTCGAGAGGAGTTCTAGCCTGTCCATGGTGGTTGGGATGAATCATGGGGCGTGCGTGCTCTATGGGGGCGTGACCTCCAAACTGAGTCATTCCCTGTCAGGATGTTGAGCACAACACTGGCAAATATCCCATTTAAATAAGTACAATAGTAGACAAAAAATATATCAAAGAAATACATTAAACACTTGCATGTCAATGCCAATAGACCATTTCAATGCATGACCCTTTTCGATGCTTTTGTGAGTCCAGTCTTCATTGGGCGCACTGGAAAAATTCTTCGGATCTGATCCAATCGCCCATCGGCGATCGTGTCCAGGATCCCAGTGTGGTGCAAAACTATGGAAGTCTACTAGAGCAACTGGTGCAGACGGTTCCTGACGGCCTCGTGCTTCCGGCAGCAGGTGGCGAGGATTGGCGAGGATGAAAGCCCGAGTTTGGGGTTTCGTGGGTGTTGCTCGATGCGAGGAAGCAGGCTTGACAGATATAGATGCGAGAAAGAACATGTGAGGCCTTTGAGTTGGCAAAATGTTCTTGACACCTTCCGTGGAAGATGTTTCGCATGTCATTGTCCTTTTCTGGGTGGTGTGAGAGTTGTTTGATTCACCAATTGCTTCAATCCATGCCACATAACAATAATCGACAAACTTTGCCAACCATGAGGGAAAGATATTTACTACAGACTATATAAGAAAACAGACACTCCATGTATTGGAATATATGCCTACATGCGCTCCCCAAACCCCATCCCAATGTAGGCAAGTATGGCAATACATGGAGTGTGTGTCGGTTATGTTATGTATACATAGACTAATTATTTGTGTCTAATGATTCGTTGTTTTCTTCCGCCGTGCCTCTCTGGGGCTCGAATACCTCCAACGGGAGCCCAGTCCCGGCGCCATGGAGCCGATGGCGGAGCCGCGCCACGTTGCGCAGCGAAACGCCGCGCTGGGCTCGCGGCCGGGAGACCTGTTCTCAGCGTTGGAGACTGGGCGAAAGCCCCAAGAAGGGGCTGTTGGGAATGGGGGCAGCTGAGTCAGCTGGTGAAGTGTGTGAGTAGGTTATGGCGGGTACTGTAGTTTCTATGGAACTGCTCTTCACCACACCTTGCAGAATCAAGTCATTTGACTTAAGTTCTGACTTGTGTAGTTGCAAAAGCCTTTTGGGGAAGAAAGATCGTGCCAATCATCCGCACACTGCTTTCTTTGACCATAGTCCATGTCAAAACCCAGAGAGGTTTCACCTGTGCTTCATCATGTTCTTTCCGAAGACGACTTGGTCAGTCGTGCAGATGAGAAGTTGGCGGGTTGGAACACCCCAAAGCTTTTTGCATCCACCAAGTCCACTTGTTCATCGTTCACCTGGAAGACATACTCATGTTCCGGTTAGGCCCGCTGATGCAACATCTTTGATTGAAGGGGCTAGCGGCTAGCTAGGAGGTGGGGGGGGCCATCAGCACTGTTCCATTGACTTCGAGACGGGATTTGTTCGTGCATGTTTGTTTGAATTCATCATGTTCCCGGTTCAGCTCCATGACTTTCAGGGAGTCCGGATGTCTACAACCCTGAAGTTTGATTGGATTTGGTGTTTGACTGCCCCTCCACATGCCCAATTGGTTGTCGTTGGTTGTGGGCAAATTCAGATGCTTGGCGGGAGATCAGCTGAAAGGGTGCTTGCACGACTGGAGTCATACCATGTTATATGTCCACCACCTGTTTTTGGGCCACTGTGTCACACTGTACTAGAACTTAAGACTTAGTAGGGTTTTATGTTATTTTAGCTTTTCATGAAACTTCTCGGCTCTTGAGGACACCAACAACGATGGCGTCTTGACTCGAGAAGAGATGGCTGCCCTGCACATGGGCCACCTGCAGGGGCACATGGGACCTGGCGGCGTGCCAGGCACAACTGAGTTGATCGTCGATCCGTCCGGATGAATAGAGACAGCGGACATTCCATTTGAAACAGACTGTGAAGACAGCACCCAGAAGAGCACAACTGGATTTGGATAAGCGCACTTCTGATGGTAAGAAGATCATGTTCGCAATATTCCACTTTGCCTCATGTTGCTTTGAGGTGCTCAAGCCGGTGCGGTCACCTACGCCGCGGGCGCGAACGCCCCGCGGATGGCGGCGATGATGCCCATGGCGCCAGTGACGCAGCAGATGGCGCCTGTGACGCATGTTGCGCCACCTGTGACGCTGCCACCAGTCACACAGGTAGCCCCACCGGTGACGCAGCAGCTACCACCTGTGACAGCGGTGGCTTTGATGGCAGAGATGACGTGTTCACCTTTGTTTGCTACTGACTCCTAATTTCAATGACCCCTGTCGGGTGGTCGCACGGGAGAAACCAGCTCGTTTGTGTTTTGATGTGTTTTGTTAATTCGGTGGTGTGTTGCTCACAGCACGCCCGCACCCGCAAGCATGACTTAACATGTGCATAAGCCTGCTTGGCCCCAGAATGCCCTAGAGTCTATCTCAGGTGGTCACAGCTCCTCCTCAGCATGTGGCAGTGAGACCCCCGGTCCAACTCATTGAGAAGATCGTGGAGGTGCCACAGGTGGAGGTGCAAGAGAAGTATGTGCCACTGCTGAAGTTCTAAGTGCTGAACGTTTGTGCCAAATCTCATGGACCCTCCGTCTACTGTGGGTTACTCTTTTCCAAGACATGGGTAGATTTTTGTTTTTTTTTTTTTTTTGTGGAAGTGTGGAATCCCGAACGCGCATTTCTCCTTCCATACCACCGCTTTTGAAATTTGATTGAAAAAGAGCGGTGTCAAAACGTCAGAGGCTGTCCCACCTGTCCCACCCGTCCATGTCCGACCTGATTTTCCAAACGGTGGGCGTAACTAGAGGCTCAAATAGTCGGACAGGGGGAGGGGACTGGTCACCACATCAGAAACACAATGAAACACATGACTGGGAGGGTCCAGCCAAGTCATGCCAAATCAACTTGGTTGAAGTTTCCGACTTTCGTAACGCATGTTTTTGGGGCAAGGGGTTCCTGAAGATCAAACAACAGCTGGGCAGCCGAACCGGCACGTTTCCAGGGTGTAACCAGCTGTCCGCTGAACCCGAACTTTTCGTAGATGAAGCATCATGAGCAACTAGATGACATGGCGACGACAGGCGTTTTTCTATATACGATATACATATATACAATACTTTATATACACGTAATATCACGTAATCCTTGTTTGGGTGTTACGCTTGGTCGAAGGTTTGGACGGACACTTGACCAGAATCGAGGTGATCACTTCCTTTTCTAAGTCTTTTTTTTGTGGCTGGCTCGGCACGGGCGCCAAGGTAGATATCCCGACGACACTGCGCCTCGCTTCAGTTTGAGCTGGAATGGGAATTGACCATGTGAACTGAGCATGGGAATTGGTCATGTCATCGGGTCAGTTTCAGGCAAGGGAAAAAGGCAAGGCCAGTTGTTGAAAAAGATTGTTGCTAATGATGACCCTCGGTCTAGGCAAATCTTCTGAACTTAGAGAATTGGAAGTGAGTTGAGTTGAATTGCCATTGAACTGGGATCCTTTTTCCAGTTGGCAAGCAGGAGCAGGAAAGTGATACCAACCTGGTCTGTTTCTGCTGCAACCTCCACAAATCCCACCAGGCTGAATCCCAGCAACACGGTTTCATGCCTGTTAAAAATTCCACATAACTCAAAGAAGGCTATAAAAGTGGTGTGAATCAGGCTCTTGAAGAAGACTCGCTTCGACGGCTACATAGGTCGTTTGGAGATTCCAGGTACCAGGAGAAGGTCGTGGAAGTCCCAAAGGTTCACGTGGCAGAGGTCACGAAGCAGGCACACCATGACGCCATAGCTGAAGACCACTGCGCACTGCTTCTCGTGGCGCACCCGAGACGATGAGCGAGCCAGGGGAGAGACCCTTTCTTTTCAATGTGTTTGTCCCAAACATGTTGACTGTTGGGGGTTCTCTACCAACGTCGGGGTGCCTGGCAGGTCCCCAGGATCGAAGTGCAGGAAGTGATCAAGGCAGTGGGACCGCTCCGGTGGTTTTGTCATATGGGGATGGGTCAAAGCCTGGAGCCATCCTGGAACCAGGTGAGCCAAGGTGTGTTTTTGAGGTTTTGACCCACATTAGATGGCCCATGATAGCCCTACACCACCAGAATGCCATGAGGATGATTCTTTGTACCCATCAAATCCGCTCACAAGCCCAGCCATTTTAGATGGAGGATTTGCACACATCACACACCGCCAAGATCCCCGCATGACCTCTATATAGTCGTCTTGGTTTGAAACCTTGGGACACCCAAATTGGGGTACTTGTACCAAAAGGTTGAGCTTGGAGTGGTATGTGTGTTTGTGATGTTCATGGAGCAGTCCCTTGGTATGCCAACTGTCAGCGGTATGACCGGCATGTTCGTTCGGACCAGTCCCTTTTTGCTCTTCCGATGTGCCAAGTCGACTCGGCTTCTTTGAGACAGTCGCCGAATGGGCAGGAAGTGGCAAAGCCAATCACTGAAGTCTATGAGCGCACAGTGGAGGTGCCACAGAACTTGTATCTTGACTGTCCTCAGGAGTACTCTTAGACCCTTAGTCTTTTTGGTTTAGAAGGGATTTCTTACCAAGCCACTAAGGACTAAAGACTAAAGCTTAAAGGCTTAGCAAAGGACCTATGGACAGCCAAGGTACGTGGAGAAGCTGGTGGAAGTGCCCAAGCTTCGGGCATCTGGGCTTTCAATCATGCACGGGTCTTCGAAACGAAGAAACGACACGCCGCTTAGTCTTTTTCTTCCCCCTTCTGGGCAACGCAAAAAGAAACAAGTACTGCACATGCTCCTGAACGAGTATTTCAGGCATGGCTCCGTGCTTCAAGGATTTTCCGCATGAGTTCTCACGGTTCGCAGATGTTTTCAGGAGTCTAGTCCACTGAATTTGGGAAATGTGTCGAGTTTGTTTAACGTTTAAACAACTGCATGACTTGCCCTTCCCGGAAGGTGGTGGATGTCCTAAAGCAAGTGCCAAAGCCTGTGATGAGGCAGGTGGAGAAGCAGGTGGGGACAGCCACATGCCAGGGCTGGCGATACCATCAATTCTGCAAAGGATGCAGATGTTTATACAAAATGTCAGGCCGGTGCTGAGCAGAATGCTCTCAGCTCGACCCCGTTGCAAAATAGGTTACCAACAAAACTCATGCTGCTCGCGCATAGACTGAAAGTCCAATGTTTCATTGCTTTCTAAATAGCGGCTTGATTCTTGTACTGGTCAGTCTACTTCTTATGTAAAAATTATGTATACAATGCAGGAGATGGGGAACATACTTCTTATATATATATATATTCTTATCATACCAGTTTAAAGCTCCCAAGCCACAGGTTCGGAGCCGATGTTGGGACTACACTGCAATAAGAATCATTTTGATGTGTATA